ATATATATATATATATATATATATATATATATATATATATATATATATATATATATATATATATATATATATATATATATATATACATATATATATATATATATATATATATATATATATATATATATATATATATATATATGTATGTTCCATTACAGTTACAAACTACTCCATAAAAAAAGCTCCCAATACTTTCAATCAAGCACCTTTGGCACCAATTACAGCCTCAAGTCTTTTCGAGTACCATGCTACAAGCTTGGCACACCTATTTTTCGGCAGTTTCTCCCATTCTTCTTTGCAGGACCTCTCAAGCTCCGTCAGGTTGGATGGAGAGAGTCGGTGCACAGCCATTTTCAGATCTCTCCAGAGATGTTCAATTGGGTTCAAGTCTGGGCTCTGGCTGGGCCACTCAAGGACATTCACAGAGTTGTCATGTAACAACTCCTTTGATATCTTGGGTGTGTGCTTAGGGTCATTGTCCTGTTGGAAGATGAACCTCTGCCCCAGTCTGAGGTCCAGAGAGCTCTGGAGCAGGTTTTCATCAAGGATATCTCTGGACATTGCTGAATTAATCTTTTCCTCGATCCTGACAAGTCTCCCAGTTCCTTTCACTAACAAACATCCTCACAGCATGATGCTGCCACCACCATGCTTCATTGTAAGGATGGTATTGTCAGGGTGATGAGTGGTGCCTGGTTTCTTCCAGACATGACGCTTGGCATTCAGGCCAAAGAGTTCAATCTTTGTTCAATCTTTGGTCTGAGAGTCCTTCTGGTGCCTTTTGGCAAACTCCAGGTGGGTTGTCACGTGCCTTTTACTGAGGAGTTGCTTCCGTCTGGCCACTCTACCATACAGGCCTGATTGATGGAGTTCTGCAGAGATGGTTGTTCTTCTTGAAGGTTCTCCTCTCTCCACATAGACACGCTACAGCTCTGTCAGAGTGACCATAGGGTTTTTGGTCAACTCCTTGACTAAGGCCCTTCTCCCCTGATCGCTGTAGGAAGAGTCCTTCCAAACTTCTTCCATTTATGGATGATGGAGGCCACTGTGCTCATTGGGACCTTCAATGCTGCAGACATGTTTCTGTACCCTTCCCCAGATCTGAGCTTCAATACTATCTGGTCTCCAGACAATTCCTTGGACTTCATGGCTTGGTTTATGCTCTGACATGCATTGTTAACTGTGGGACCTTATATAGACAGGTGTGTGCCTTTCCAAATCATGTGCAATCAACTGAATTTACCACAGGTGGATGCCAATCAAGTTGTAGAAACATCTCAATTATGATCAGTGGAAACAGGATCCACCTGAGCTCAATTTTGAGTGTCATGACAAAGGCTGTGAATACTTATGTAAATGTGTTTTTTTGTTTTTTATTTTTAATAAATTTGCAAAGATTATAAAAAAAACTTCTTTCATGTTGAAGTTATTGGGTATTGATTGTAGAATTTTGAGGAAAATAATGAATTTAATGCATTTTGGAATAAGGCTGTAACATAACAAACTGTGGGAAAAGTGAAGCGCTGTGAATACTTTCCGGATGCACTGTATGTATATATATTCTTTTGGGTGCCACTGTTTGTCACCGTACACAACAGCGCTTCACTCTCGCATGTTCACTGAGAGTAGGCTAATGGTTGAGAGGCAGGAATTTGACCAATTTGTGTGTGAGAAAGTGTGAATTACAAAGAGGGGCTAAAGCAATGCAAACATGCCCACACATAATGTAGTATTAGCCCATAAGCACATCATATTGAAACTAAAGCCGAATCCCAGACATTTTCTCAAATTTAGAAATCCAGACCGGATGCTATTTTAAGGACTAAAAAAGAGGACATATCCAGGAAAAAGATGACATATGGTCACCCTAACATGAATTTGTGTTAATTCCTAACTAATTATCTTTACGCAAATTTATTTGCGTATACACCAAAAGGTTACTCACATGAGCTACGACTGACAAGAGAGAACCAGAACTATAATCAAGTAGCTGTCTATTGTTCTATGTCAACAGATTAATTTCTTTGCTTTTAAATAATTAAAAAAATTAAATCCTGATAGGATTCCCGTTTTTTTCTTACAAAATATACCTGTAATCTGATTACTTTGTTTTTTGACATAACTGTAATGGATTACAGTCATGGATTTGACAATATGCATTACAGCATTCGTCAGATTTACTTATCCAGAGCAACTTACAATTTATCTCATTTATACAACTGAGCAGTTGAGGGGTAAGGGCTTTGCACAGGCGACCAATAGTGGCAGTTTGGTAGTGCTGGGATTTGAACCTTCCCATCAGAAGTCCAACATCTTAACTGCTGAGCTACCACTAATATCAGTGTCAACTGTAAAGGTTTTGACAATGACAATCGTTATACTGTAACATCATAGTTATGCATATTATACATGCAGTTTATATGACATATAATCATATCTGATTATGAGTAAAATTACAGTAGCTTAGATTTTTGTGAAAATCAGGTGAGAAAAACATGTAACCATCAAAAATTAGAGTGAATTTACAGTAATTTTTGACATCAACAAACATCTCTAATTTGTTGCTAAAAATATCTTAGTAATGGATTTGGGAAGCACAAAAATGAACCAGTTGAAAACAAATTTTCATTAAGCAATTTTATTCATGCCAGAAGTGCATCATGCCTCAGAGTCAGTTGTTGTAGCATATTGCTATAAATCAGCCTAAACAATGTTGAATATGTTATGTCAGCATTATCTGAAGCAGTATTTATGATCGCTGTTCATGATGACTGTTGAAATCTGCTTTTCTCTGTGATTATGTAGGTTCATGTATGTTTCTATGAAAAGTGCAGATGTCATGTAGAGTTTAAGTCTTAAACTGATGCATGATAATGCTTTGTCCTGGTCAAGGTTGTGGTGTATCTGGCGGTCATCCATGGATGGGACATGCACATTCACAACTAAGGGCAATTTAGCATTGGCAAGGCATTTACTCTCGGATTTTTGGGCGGTGGGAGAAAACTGCAGACCTCACTTGAACATGAGGAAAAAACATACAAAACTCCACACAGTGAGTAAGTTAAACTGGCAACCACTACCGAATGTGCCACTGTGCCATCGATGATAAAGTTAAATGTTTTCTTTTATGAAATTTCAACATGCAAAAAGAGACAGAGTCTGTCTGTTATAAATGAACACGACTTGTTCTTTCACAATTTCTACTAAAAATGTTATATTGTCTAATGACTTTAGCTAGTTGGTAATTATAATATATTGCACATAAACTAAATCAAGGATCTAATATAATGGCATGAATATGGAGGCTTGACAAAATGAGTAGACAAGTAAAAGAAAATAACAATAAAATCTGGTAGTTGTCAGATGTGTCATGAGCAGACGGGGGTTTGGATGCAAATGCAGGTTTATTGGCAAAGCAGACAAATCCAAAGGGAAGAGACAAAGTCAACGTCAACAACATGGATCAGGTGATCAACAAATGGACTAGACTACAGAAAGCAAACTCGTTAACTCAAACAATCAAGGTCACAGCTAAAATAGCATGCACTGAAAGATACAGGCTTGGTAATGTCAATAATGATGTGCTAGGAGCAATATTCCCAATGAGCAGATGTGTATATGTGATGTGTATGTGTAGTGAACTAGTGAACCTGTCACAGGAACACCTGCAATATGGACAATAAACATTCAGTTCAGTTAAAGAGTTCTCCACTAAAAGCTGGTGTGTGGTGGGAGTTCTGTGGCACTCTGGATGCCGTCACATCATCCAGATGGATGCTACACACTGGTGGTGGTTGAGGAGACCCCCCCCCATCCCCATACTATGTAAAACGTTTTGAGTGTCTAGAAAAGTGCTATAGAAAATGGAACTGTAAACTGTAAAGAAATTGCTTAATGCTTTAGAAGCATAAAAGTAACAGACATATTTAATAGAGGATTAAACAACTGTAAAATATGGAACTGGCATATTTCCATGACTTTGTCCACACTTGTGGAGGTTGACATTAAAAGACTGAATAAATCTCAGAGCATCTCAGACATTTTTTCTTCTTCTCAGGTTTAAAGTTAAATACATTGTAAACATATTTGTGGGCTCTCATATAATTGCATAACAAAGATGCTCCTTGTTGAATTATTTCCAAGTGTTCCAAGTTCTGTCATATAACTGAGCCTTTGTGTCCCCATGGACTCTCACGCTGATGCTGGAAGTGTGTAAACAAAGTACTTCAGATACAGCAGATGTTTTAAAGAAACCTATCTTGTTGTTTATAAAAGACACATGAGCAGCAGCAAGACAATTCTGATTCATTTTCTTTGAAGCTTTGTTGAGAATAGTCTGCTAGGGAGGTATGACTAGTTTTCAAATTTTTCCAGCTTCAAAATCTTGTTGGTTCCCTTCTGTTAATGTGTTGCACTTTAGTCCACCTTAAGCCATGCAGAGAATGTGGTTTACATTTAAATACCTCATTATGTAATCAAGCAAGGAAAGTATTTCATACCTCATTACGCATTTCCCGCTGAGTGACTTGTCCAAGTAAGCATAAATGTTCATTGTGTTTCTCATACTTCACACTGTTTGCTTTCGCTGTAACTATGGCAAGATTGCAAACTTTTTTAATTTAAAATGTATTGAATTGATCCCATATATATTTTTTTATTGAAATAATGTTCAGATTCAGGAATGTTTTATCATTCACTCACCTTCATAAACCTCTTTATCCTTGACAGGGTCTCAGGAAAAAATGGGTATAAAGCAGGATTATACATTGGGTGGGGCACTATGGACACACATAACAAGGGGTAATTTAACATAGCCAATCCATCTGCCTGAATGTTTTTTGGAGGTCAGAGGAAACTGGAAAACCTGGAGGAATCCTACATTTAAATTTACTTCTACGGCATTTGGCAGATGCATTTATCCATAGCAACTTATATTTATCTTGTTTATACAACTGAGCAATACAGTACAATTGAGGGTTAAGGACCCAGAGGTAACAGGTTGGTGGTGCTGGGATTTGAACTCACAAACATCCGATCAGAAGTCCAATGTCTTAGCCACTGAGCTACTCCCACCCCACCTACACAAACATGGGGAGGACAAAGTCTGCACAGACATAACTCGACTTGAGGATAAAACTGGGGACCCTCAATTTGTAAGGCATCAAAGAAATCTCCTGCACCACTGCGCCACCCCTATTCTGTAATGGGAAATTCTTTTATGCCTTTGAGAAGGCACATATTGGTTACAGTGAAAAACATTTTTGAAAGGAAAATATAGAACTAACAGCTGTACGCTACTAAAAATCAGTTGACAAGTCAAGCATTGTAACTGCAGTCCCCATTTAATGTTCACTTCTTCTTACCTAATGCTACAGCTGTGACTGTGTAGGCCTAGCAAGAGCTGCATGAGAAGGGATTATTGTAGCCTAATAAATCAGGTTTAAAGTCTTTCTGTGTTAAGTGGTGGGAGTTCATTTCAAGCATCCGATTTCCATTAATTAGAATTTGCTGTCAGACCCGCACATGGATGTGATGCAGGATGGCAATGGCACGGTTGCACACAATTTAAAAACCCTTTGACCCATTTGTCACATCAAGTCTGAGGAAGGTCTTCTCTGCTGTTCTGGCATGAAGCCCTGGCATTATGGTAATGATTCAGCTAGTGGAAAGAGCAGCGAGCTACAGTCATCACGGTTGTTGGAGTTTGTGTGCGTGAGTGTGTGTGTGCGTGTGTGCATTTGTGTGTGTGTGTGTGTGTGTGTGTGTGTGTGTGTTATGTATAGAGAAGGAGGAATCACACGTAGGCGAGTTTTTCAGCACATCACTTGTCACATTTAAATGTCCTCATTCCCTCCATTTTTCTGCATCCCTTTAAATCAGTTGTGACATGTGTGTGAAAGCAGTTGAGACACATTGATTTTAGCAAAATGTATTCCTTTTGAGAAGAAAAAAATAAATCATTTGAAACAAGAGAATACATTTCTAATGTGTGGCTGCATGCCTGTGCCAATTCTGTCCAGAGTTAAGACAAATGAATTGCACTGTATAATTATCACAGGGGCCGTAGCATTTATTACTGCTGTCTATCTTGTGAAACATGCATAACAGGGTCATTAAAACGAAACTGCTAGTTTGGAGACAGGAATATGCTAAATCTGAGAAATGTAAATAATGCTGCATTGTATTCTGTTTGCAAAGTGAGACTTGGGGTGTAATAAAAATAGACCTGGCACACTTAGGTATGTACTAAAGTGAAATTTGTCTATACAAAATGCAATCCAAATACTTTAAAATGATGTCACAAAATATACAGTCAACTCCATAATTATTGGCACCTTTCAAAATCATGATTTTACTAATCATAATAATGAATGAGCCCTTTCATAATTAATATGTGGTGAAGCACCTGAGACGATAACAGCACTGAGCTGTGGAGACACTTGTAGAATATCTTGGACTCTTATCTATGTAGAACATTTTACTCATGTTGCCTGTCATTTGCATATGTGAATTCATACCATATGCAATACTTGAATAAAGTTCCAATCCAGAGACTGAGGCAAATCAAAACACTGATTCAAATAAACCACTGGTTCAAATATTTAGTATTGGTTTAAATAATGTTTTGAAGTAATTATCTTACTGAAAGCTGTGGATCAAGTCCGTGGGTTTACTTCAATTTCACAACCATTGAACAGTTATAATTGTTAGGCTTTTTAAATGCACATACTGCATGTGAGAGCACAAAAAAAATATAAAGATAAATGCTTGGATTAAATCTAATATTAAGAATGAATTGATATCAGCCCCTTTTATGTGTTTAAATTTCATTCACTGCATTAAGTGATATTATTGAAGTTCATTTATAGATAGAACTACCATTTTTTTAATTTCCCATTTTAGCCAAGACAACGGGACAAAATATTTTACGAGAAAGGTTTCAAGAATATGACTTCTACACTATTAACTCTTATAGATTTTACAGCACTGAACTGAACATTTTTAGGAAATTAATTTGCCTTTACATATTTTGTTCACTTTATTCCATTCGATGGTAACACAGACACCTCATATTCATATACAGAAAGGTCTTGTTTGTTTTTATTTGTGCTGCTGCAGAATTAGCATAACTGACAGTATAAAAAAAAATTCTCCTGCTCTGTGCTGCTTCATCATCATTACTGGCCTTTAGACTTAGCATAGTCTTTCTTTGGCTGATTTATCTTCCTGCCAGTGGTCTAATGTCCAGTTACGGCTATTGTTTGAGTGTTAAAACAAATCTTCCTAGCAAGTAGGCAGTTCAGGAGTTATGTATGATGGTGGTAGCATCAAAGGAAAACTTACCTCAGTATGGTGTTAAAATAAAATAGGTGGCTAACTAATGGGAATTAGTCACTTTAGCTGCATATTAGAATTACACTAATTGTACAAGTTAACATAAATGTTATATAAGCAGCTAGGGTTACACAAAAATAAAAATAAAAATCACAAACCTTTCTATTTCAGCACAGCATTTTGGTTTGAGTACATTAGTGAATGAGCCCAAAAGCAAATGCAGAAAACATTTATGACTATTCCTAGCATTCAGTATATCAAGTTCTCTAAGGAAATATCAGTATATCTGTATCAGTATCACAAGGTAAAGTGGCACTTCAGTATAGAATTTCAAATATTAAATAATAAATGATAAATTAAAGCATTATTTTATAGCCAGTAAATGTACATATGTTCAACAACATTAGCAGCTTATTGAGTAGTTATTAAATAGAAGCTGGGCACACCTGCAATGCAATCTAACAATATGGGAGCACAAAATAAAGAAATAATAAGCTGTTATATTGCCAAATAGCTGCTGTATTCACTACTTATCAGCCAAGAATTAAAAAGTCAATACGTGACAATGTGACAATATGTGTTACCAGACAGTGATGCAAATAACAGCGTTAATGTACTCACAATGGCTACAAACAGTAGAGGTTGCACAGTAAGTACAAGCTATTGCACTTTGTTACATATTGCTGACAGTAGCATAGTTATCACTTTTGTGGAAGTATTAAACATTCACTGGCTTCATGGCGTCTGGTAAAAATGAAATGCTATGAAACCAGAACCTGGTGGTTTAGGTGCACATCGATCTCGACCTGCTGGAGGGAAAAAGTTCAAATATGTGGTGGTCAGGGTGTAGAGGGGTAGGATATGATTTTTCCAGCTTGCTTCCTGGCTTTAGTAATGGACAGATCCTCAATGGATGGCAGGTTGATTTCTATAAGGCAGCATACATTTGAGACAGCCAAGGTTGAGGCACCATTTTTACATGAGTCAAGCATATTATATGTACTGATACATTTTATAAGGGTTCATTTATTTATTTATTTTAAAAAATGAAAAGAAAAAATCATATGATTGATCAGAACACTTCCAATCTTGTTTATATGGTACATTAATTTTATGGTATTTCATAATATACTTTAATTCTATAATATATACGTTTCTTATATTACATAGTATAGCTACAGTTTATGAAATATAACTACTTACTGATAACAACAAAAGTCTGCAGTCTCACATTTGGTTTGGAATTTATATTCTTCAAAAAAATCTCCCTTTTATGATTATGATGAATAAGTATGATGAATAATGATAATGTGGGTTACAAAAATACTATGAACATCTCATTACTCTGCAGGTAAGATGCTGCATGATTCCATATAATTGCAGAAATAAGATGCAAAAAATATTTAATAGAAAGCTTTTCCAGGGTCACTGCTATTGCCATTGCTGCTACCTGCCATATTGACCAATCACTAAAATCCTGCCATGTGTCAGTACAAAAGCATGTGTTGAAGGTATGGGAGGCATATTGTCTCTACAAAAGACGGCAATACTGCCAAAAGCAGTTAATCATCACTAACTATGTGTTGATACCCTTCTTTTATCAGATGTGTTAAACATCGTATTAAACATGTACATACAACATCCCTAATATAATGCATGAAAGGTGTATGTGTACGTCAAGTGCATGTAGACAGTTCTGAAAGCAGTTTTGATGGGAACTGTATAAAATTGATTCTAGCCTTTTTTTTACATTCGTAAATTTGATTCAACTCTTCCTTATTCAACTCTGCTTTTTTTGACATTCAGTCATGATTAACGTTAAGTATTGCACTACTGCTTGCCATGTGCCAACACACGAATGATACCTGATACCTGATACCGGATTCCAACTTTGGGATATTAAAGTGGACATTAAATGTGAATGGTATTTTTTCTTTACTTTAACATCATATACTAACTAACCAAGCTGCTACCTATTCAAGCAACATGGTCAGCTAATTAATGTTAGGAATGTTGTACTAGCTTACTTTATTTAACAGAAATGGAATTGTATGTTTGATCATGATCATGATTGTATGATTTGATCATGTTGCTACTACTACTACTACTTCTAATAATAATAATAATAATAATAATAATAATAATAATAATAATAATAATAATAATAATAATAAAACCCTTTGTTCATGCATTTTCATTAATGTAATTGACAATGATCAGTTGAAGGCACTACCTGTTCTACAGAAAAATTATTACTTTTAATAATTGCTTTTAATTTTCCTCTTAATTTAAGTCATCATAGAGCCGATTCAAACAAGCCACCAGTCGTACATCCTTTTCCATTGATGTGAAATGATTTCCTCATGGTGTACATGGATAAGCTAACATTATTTTACAGGTGATTGCATTTTTCTCAGGGTCCTTGCTATTATTGTTCATGGCTTCACCATTACTAGCTCTGACTGTGTTAATGGAGGGTCAAAAGCCTTTATACACTAAAATCTCCAGCCATTGTGCTCAAGCTCTTAACTGCTATTCCTGGTAAGACCCCCTCCCCCCCTCTTCTGGGTGCAGTCATGGAGAAAGGCACACTTTTGCACACTTTTGACTTATGACATTTGACATTTACATTTAAAAGTATGAAACTCCTTATGAAGGCAAATCTACACATTTTACTTTGAACAATGATCTTGTAAATCTAATGCATCTATCTATGGATGTATTTGTTTTACATTCTAG